ACATCACTTTTTTTGTATTGAATATTCTTCATATGAAGGCTGAGTGACCTAAATTAACTTTTAAACCTGGGCAGACTAAATCAAGAGTGGACAATATCTTACTTTACAGTCTTCATCATCTTCATCCTCCTGCTGGGTTGATAACAAGTTGGACAGAGCCTGTAGGTGCTGCAGCGATGATGCTCCAGCAAACTCCATTCAGAAGAAAAACAAGTTACTTTTGGCTTATTGTTTCTTAGAAGAAATTCACGACCACTCCCTCGAAACAGAAACAGGTCAAATAGTTTAAGAAATATCCTTAAAAAAGAGTTGTATATGTAAATGTAGCTTTTCCCATTAGTGATCGTGTGGACTGTTGCTTTTGTTGACGCTTGTTCCGTTTCCATGAAGACGACCGGGCTGCCATCAGGCTGCCATGGGAACAGTGACGTCAGATTAACGGAAAAGGAAATTAAATTTGTAGTTTTTTAGGGTGTTTTAAAACAAAACTCTTTATTGCGACAACAACAAAAATACTTGAAAAAATACCATCTCAAAGTGTTATTCATTATCAGAATATAATTACTGCTTTATTAACGTGTTGTAGAACTTTATTATTACCTTTAAAGTATGCTGTGGAGCTAATATTCATATTTGTATAGGATATGCTGTACATAACAACAGGTAGCCTAGTTACATCTATAACAAATGCAGAATACAAGATCATGTTTGATATTTAAAAAGTTAATCTGCACAATAGCTGATAATTAATTGAAATTCAGCAAAATATAAATATAGTACAATTACAATACAACTAACAAATTGGACTCAAGAATAATCTCAGAATAACATTAGTCCCTATATTCGACCACTAAATACTTCTTAAAACAGTCAAATAATAACATATATTGTAATGTGTATGCATATAAATAAAACCAGTCCAGCATACTTTTAAATAGCTTTACATTGATGTTGTGCTTTCAAGCATAATAAACGCGTTTGTCACCAAACTACTGAAAGGTGGCGTTATTATCGCTTCGAGTATGAACAAGGTCCCTCCTGAGACACCATAGAGATTGCATGGCACGCGGGGATCATGTTGAAGGTGACAAGCAGTGCAATGCCGGGACCTGTGAGTTTATTATTCCCGACCCCCGTCTTTGCTGCCTCCCGTGACGGGGATCCACAGCCGTCCGCCCCCTCACTCCTCCGGGACGAACTGTCTCTGTACACCGCTCCTCCTCCTCTGCAGAAGCCCCTAAATGTGCTGCCTGAAGCGGGTCAGCTGGAGCAGAGTGCCGCCACCCTTCGGGAGTTCACGGAGCCATACACGGGGTGGTGCAAGGACACCTACAGCACAATTCAACCCAAAGTTCATAGCGTGGTCCAGTGTGGGAGCGACACCTATGCCTATTTGAAGGACCCACCAAAGGACTTCTATCCCCGGGCAGGAGTAGTCGGCTTCACCGGTGTCCTGGGGCTGTTCCTTGCCCGGGGCTCCAGGATTAAAAGGTTTATGTTACCGGCGGGCCTGATGACGGTGAGCGCCTCCATGTATTACCCGGAGAAAGCTGCGACCATCGTAAAGTCAACCGGAGACTCCGTGTATGACCGGGCTGTGCAGAGCTACGCTGCCCTGGAGAAGATGGTGAATCCTCAAAGTAAATCTGGAAAAGACTCAGAAACTAAACCCTGAAGGGCCAAAGTGTGATTCTGCAACAACTCAGCAATACGAAATCACCCTGAGGATCCAAGTGTGATTCTGCAACAACTCAGCAATCAGAAATCACCCTGAGGATTGTAGTGTGATTATGCAATAAAAAAAAAATCAGCCTTTTCCTGATATTGTAGATTGGCTGCACAGACAGGCTCTAATTTGTGTGACTTCCTCATGCCCACTATTTGCACTAAGATTCACATGTAACTCAGGCCGGGCATGGCCTGTCACAAGGGCTTTGCAACTTGAATAATCAACGTATGCTTCTGATTTGAATGTATATTTATGTAGTGAAATATTAAAAATCTAGTCTCTTATGTTTGACGTCTTCAGACATTTCTTGGTTACTGACCTCCATGCGTTACATACAATCATTCAAAAAATACAATAAACTTTGAGAATGAGTTGCTTATTTTTTCAGGCAAACGTGTCAAACATTTCTTATAATATCCTCCTTGGACCCAGCCCATTGAAAATGTCCACTACTCTATCAATCTCTGATGTACTGTACAGATGACATCCAGGTCTTTCCAGTAATATGTCATTGGTTAAAATTGCATGCTGGGAAGTTCCTCTTTCTTGTCATCCAAAATGGCTGGCATACCAAAAACAAAATTGTATAGAAGCAGGAGAAGTCAAATATTGTTGAATAATTATTATTTTTAACATGAAAATCCCACATGTTCTTGTTTCTTAACATGTGAGGAACTATATAATTAGTTCTGAAAGCAATTAAATAATTCAAGTTTTGAAATAACAGCTCTTTTATAAATGTCCATTCTAGTGGACGTCAGGAGTCGGACCGTCTTCATGGACTTAATGACTCAATATTGTTGCAGGAGACGGAACTGAAGCAGACATTTTCTGTACCAGATAGTTCAGGGAGATTCAGATGTTNTTATGGATGAACCTTTGCATTACCAATAAAAAAACATCACATTATAAGAAACAATGCTTAATAAAAAACATATTTTTTTACTCTTGGAATAAAAGGAGACATGTAGAAAACAGCATTAAAATGTCTCCTTTTATTCCAAGAGTAAAAAAATATGTTTTTTATTAAGCATTGTTTCTTATAATGTGATGTTTTTTTATTGGTAATGCAAAGGTTCATCCATAATTCTTTTGGCTGATACCTTATTTATTGTGAATGGTATCATCATATGAAGCTGCTATTGCAAACTGATTTTGAAAAGTGGGCCTATGAGGGGAAAGCCGTACATTAAAGAATAGTTTTAAAATCAGCCATTTAATACAATATTTACATGCATGCGTGTTTATTTAGAAATGATTGAGTCGTTTTCATTAGGAAGATGTCCTCTGAATTGGGCTACTGAGACGAGTCCTGCATTCAAAAGGTTACTCAAGTAAAAGTAGAAAAGTACTCGCATCAACATATATTTAAAGTACCAAACGTTAAATAACTCATTATGCAGTATATATATAATATATTATATGTTTTGATTATAACTATTGATCTTTAAAGTGTTATCAAAGCTGGTAAAAGTGCAGCTAGTTTGAATGAGTTTGTATACTGCAGGGTAGCTTGTGAATTTACTCCAGGTGGAACTAAAGTCTGATTTAAGAGTTGATTATATTTCACATCATTAATCCAAATCTGTAAAGTAACTAAAAGTACAAAATGAATGTAGTGGAGTAAAAGTACATGATTTACCTCTGAATTATAGTGGAGAAGAAGTACAAAGTAGCAACAAATGAAATAATCAAGTAAGTTAAGTCCCTCAAACGTGTACTTAGGCACAGTACTTCAGTACTTAGTTTCTTACACCACTGCTTATAACAGAGTATTCCAACACTCTGACCATCTACTCTAACTAAAAGGTCACCTATTTTACTGTTTTTCATCAATATATTATAGGTCTCAGATATATACAAAACATGTCTCTGAAGTGTTTGGCTCCAAACACCAAACAGATCATTGCAGCATCCCATAATCCCCTCTGTTTTAGCCCTGTTTTAAAAGAGCTGATTCTCTGTCTGTTACTTTAAATGAAAATAAGGAGCCCCTCCCCACGCCCCTCTGAGAGATATTTGGTTACAAATAACACAATCCTCTAGTCTAGGACAGGGGATCCCAACCTCTCTTCCCAAGAGCCCCCCCCAAGTGACTCCTGTTGGAAGTTGCGTCCCCCCCCCCCC